GGGAGATTGGCCTGTAGTTCTCTTTTTTGGGTTGGGTCTTTCCCTGGTTTTGGAATCAAAGTAACACTTGCTTCCAGGAATGAATTTGGAAGTATTGCTTCCCTTTCAATTTCCTTGAATGTCTTGTAGAATTCAGCAGTGAAGCCATAAGGACCTGGGCTTTCCTTTGTTGGTAAATTTTTTATTACATTTTCATTTTCACTCATTGTAATTGGGGTGTTTAGAATTTCTATATCTTCTTCATTTAGCTTTGGTAATTTGTTTGTATCTAGGAATCTGTCCATTTCTTCTGTGTTTTCCATTTTATTAGAGTATAGGTTCTCAAAGAAGGTATTGATGATCCTCTGGATTTCTGCTGGGTCTGTTGTGACTTCACCTTTTTTGTTCTTAATTGCATGATTTGAGCCTTTTCTTTCCTTTTTTTAAAAAGTTGGCTAAAGGTTTATCAATTTTATTTATTCTTTTGAAAAACAAACTCTTTGATTCATTAATTTTTTGTATCATTCTCTTAATCTCCATTGCATTGATTTCTGATCTGATCTTTATAATTTCCTCTCTTGTATGAGCTTTGGGTTTGTTATGCTCTTCTTTTTCTAGGTGCTTGAGGTTCTGCATTAGATTGGTTATTTGAGCTCTCTGTTTTCCTAATAAGGGCATTGACTGCTATGAATTTCCTGCATAGAACTGCTTTCATTGTGTCTCATAGATTCCTGTATGTTGTACTGGCATTATCATTTACTTGTAGAAACTGTCCAATTTTTTCTTTAATTTCCTTTGTGATCCATTGGTTGTTCAGGAGGGTGTTATACAATTTTCATGTGTTTTGGGGAGTTTTGCAGTTTCTTATGTTATTGATCTCCAATTTTATTGCACTATGGTCTGATAATATACAGGGTGTAACTTCAATTCTTTTACATTTACTTAGATGTATCCTATGAGCTAGCATGTGGTCTATTTTGGAGAATGACCTGTGTGCAGCCAAAAAGAATGTGTATTCTGATTTTGTGGGGTGGAACACTCTGCAAATGTCTATTAAGTCCTTTTGTTCAATAACTTGGTTCAGTTCTAGAATTTCATTGTTAATTTGTTGTCTGGATGATCTGTCTATTTGTGATAATGGGGTATTGAGGTCCCCCACTACAATTGTATTAGAGCTTATTTGGTTTTTCATGTCCATTAATATTTGTTTTGTATAGTTGGGGGCATTCGTATTTGGTGCATATATATTTAGGGTTGTCATCTCTTCTTCTTGGATTGTTCCCTTCACAAGAATGTAGTGACCATCTCTGTCTCTCTTAGTTAGATTTGGTTTGAAATCTACTTTGTCTGTAAATAAGATTTCTACCCCTGCTTTTTTCTTGGTTCCTGTTGCATGGAGAACTATTTTCCATCCTTTAACTTTCAGTCTATGAATTTCTTTTTGAGTTAGGTGTGTTTCTTGTATACAGCATATTGCTGGATTTTGCTTCTTAATCCATTCTGTTGGTCTATTTCTTTTAATTGGTGAATTGAGGCCATTAACATTCATAGTTATAATAGATAGATATGGACTCATCCTTGTCATGATGTTTTGCTCTTGTTGGCTCTTTTATTTCTTATTTTTCCCCCCTTTCACTGTAGTTTCTTACCTTGCCTGATGGCTTCCCTCTGTTGGGGCTCATGGAATTTTTCATTGCCTTTTTCTAGGATATTGCTTACTATTATTGTTTGGAGTGCTGGTTTGGTATTCATGAAATTTCTCAGGTGTTCTTTGTCATGAAAGTATCTAATTTCCCCACTGATTTTGAAAGATAATTTTGCAGGGTACAACAGTCTAGGTTGGAAGTTATTTTCTTTTAGGGCTTGAAATACTTGACTCCAGGCTCTCCTTGACTTGAGGGTTTGTTTTGAAAAATCTTCCGTGATTCTGATGGGCTTTCTTTTATAGGTGATTTGTTTCTTTTCTCTAACTGCCTGTAGGATTTTGTTCTTCTGTTGGGTTTCTGGGATCTTGAGTATTATATGTCTATGTGTAGATTCTTTTTG